CAAAGTCAAAACCTGTACAGATAAGTTCTGGGCTGCTGACCCTATGCACCACGTGGTTGACAGCTTGCCCTTCGGAAGCAATTGTATCCACCCATTCCTGCCACAGCTGCGCAGCAAGCACTCTCCAAAGCTGCATCCAGGCTTTGAAGGCAACACGCAAAACTAAACTGTAGGAGAGCAGCAACAGTACAGCAATGCAGGCTTGGCAGGTGGGGATGGTGCCCTGCTTGTGCCACACCAAACCAAGCCAGGATCGCTTCTTTTTGCCATTTACGGACCATAAGAAGGTCGTGCTTGCCTTGGCCACTCACACCAGCAAAACATGCACAGGAAGCAGGCAACTTCATCAGCTGACCTGGGGCCTGCAATGTAGCGCGATGCCTATCAAGACTTAGCCTCCTGATGCCTTCTCACACCTCAACTGAAAAGCCCCTCGGAAGACAAGACACGGCAGAAGGGGAGTGGCAGCGATGATGCAAAACATCTGGGCAATACGAAGTAAGGGGCCCACATGAGTTCTGCACATGACCTTCCATCGTGGGCCAAGCCTGTCCTCAATGCAGAATTGTAATCTCGACTGAGCGTGCGTCACAGCTCCAACTTCCTGCAGGCAATGAGATTCGGGCGATGACCTGATTCCGCTCTGCGTCCTCCTCCGCTTTCTCCTGGATTACTCGAACAAGCATTTCTTCTTGCCTTGAACAACGCTTAAGGGTTTGGGGTTCTGGAGCTGGGGCTTCAAGGCTTGGGTTGCCCTCAGCTGATGTCCTCCATCTTCAGGGCCGCAGAGGCTGCGAAGAAGGCATGGCTAAGACGGGAGTTCCGGCTGTCCAGAGCCTTTCTTTAAGCATATCCTTTGTCACTGCCCCTGCCATCAGTTTCGGGCGTCTTGAAAAGACTCCATGTGAAGAGACTCCATGTTGAAAAAAAAGCCTCGCCGCAAGCAACTACTGCCTCCTGAGCACTCATCACTCATGATCGCTTTCTCTAGCTACCTGCCTCTTGAAGCAAACCTGCGCAGTGCCCGTAGCTCAGCCTCTTTCCCGCCTTCCCCGACTGAGCTTAAGCACGTACACAGATAGCAGGCTCTCTGTGCAAGGTCATTGTTTTCATTCACCATCAGCCGCGGTCACCCTTAGGCCTGACAGTTCGAATTCAATCTTTGTGCAACACAGACTCTTTGTCCCAAGTTTGGGACTGATCGGGGACACCCATGCTGAGGGCAGCTCCCGACAATCTCCCCTGAACTCCGCAGCAGCCTCATGGGCAGTCTGTTGGGTTGCATACCATTCTCCTTCCGTGCAAAGCAGATGAAATGGTGCTGAATCCAGGGCTCGTGCCATAGCCATTTGCCATCCTCTGGAAGCGGCTCGGGCGGCTCATCCTGGTCTGTAAGCCCGGTTTCAATCAGCAAATTGCATGCACAACTTCGTCTCACTTCCTTCCGCAAGTCGAGATTTGCTAGCGCACAGACTGAGGCAAGGCAGAATGGCACATGGGCAGCCCCAAAGTTCAGGAGGTGTCCCGCTGGGAAAGAGGAACTTCATCCTTGTTGGCTTTGGCCTGGACGGAACGGAAGATTGAGCCCAGGCATTTGCCACCTTCTGAAACTACAAGGAATCAGATGCACCTTCTTCCCTGGTTCCGGCTCGCCCCGGGCCAGCTCGTACTCTACCTTTGTACTGCTAGTCAGGTTGAGCGGGGAAACTGCCTCGTTTCATTCCTGAGAAGCAGTCCCAGGAGAGAACTCCTTGCGCCATTGGATCCTGATAGCTTCAGGACATGGTCTTCTGAAATAATAGTGCTACAGATGCAATATCACTTGGCCTGAGCCAGCGAACAGCACAAGTCGGCAGGGACAGGCTAAGGCTCAGAGGAGCCCCTTCTTCATAAACCAATTCTATCATTTTTCCAGACAGAAGTTTCTGAAAACCTGGGTGCCCTTAAAGACCCTAGTCATATACGATGCAGATTCAGGCGGGATGAGACAGGAGTACTGTTGAGAAACACCCATGTCCTCAGGGAGGAGATGTGGCCTCTGGGCCAGCCGTTCGTGGCAGCGCTGCGCTACATCCGGCCACCACCTTGACTTACTGCTGGTCACCGGGGAATGGATGCCTGTCATGGGGGCGTTGCTGTCTAAGGGCTCAAATTCAACTACCCTCGTGAGGTAGCCATACATGCTACGTATAGGTATATTAGGGTAAGTGAAGTAAAATTCCTTAAGAGCAACCCAGTATAGTAGCCTCGCAAGGAAGAAAGGCCATGCTGCATGTTTCTGATTCAGGGTGTCCAACAAGTAGGGGCCCCTTTAAGTCTCTGTATAAGGATCAGATCATCTGAGGTCAAAATGCCCCCCTCCTGTTTTCAATTTTGCTTGGAGACCAGCGCCCCACTGCGCGGAGCATCCGCAAAGACGCTGATGCAAGCGCTAGGTATACTACCCGCTTGAGGCTCAAACAGCTAGATTGCATTTCAATGCTCGAGGCATTCGGTACCTACGATTTGAACGCCTTCAGACACTGCATTGAAAGTAAGCTGCCAGTAAACACAAAAAGCTTTGCTCAGCTTCAAGCGCGTCGGAGAACAGTCCACCGGACTCCTGTTGAAGGAGCGCACGCTAAAGGACCACAAAGCAAAAAGAGCCACGATGTACGTAGCTCGCGATGTCCACAAGCTGCTGGCCTCATCGTCCGGGGATGGAGATGCCGAAGAATTGCCATCTGTCAGCGAGCATCATACAGCCGCAAAGCAGCTTCTGGAAGCGATGGAGCTGGGGCTGCAGCTTTCGTCAGAGGTGCTCCTGAGGCTGAAACGCCAGGACAATCTGGCTGGAGCAGTCTCTGACTGAGGTGCCGTCAGCAGTCGGACAGGTGGCATACCTGATGAACTCGGGGCACCTGAACAGGAAAGTCTTCAGACCGCCGTAGAGCAGCTGCTACCAGTGCCAATATGTTGAAATGATGTTGTTCGACATAGTTCTGTTTCAGTGCAGCCTTCAGGGTTCCGATGCTGGATGTTTCTGCGCAAGTGCGCATCAACTGCTGGAAGATTCAGACCTGGTGCTCTCGGCAGGCGGTTGCAGCCGCTCGCTGGCCTTGGCGACACAAAGCTTCAGAACAGGTTGAATCAATGGCCACACCACGCTATTCGCAACAGCCCCTTGCGCACCTTGCAAAGTTCCGTGTGACGCAAACTGATCTGCTACCCAAGCCCGTTCTATTTCACAAATGCAAGACTACTGCAGCTGTTCCTCCATCCAGTTTCTCGATCTCATGACTCAAACGTGCGTCTCTTCACGTATGAGTATCATGATGTTACTATACTGATCCTTCTATTTCTGCTTCTTGGGGTGTCTTTCCCCGCCGGGTACCACCTAATCCTACTATTACTACTACGACGACGACGACAGTTCAAATTTAGTGCGCCTGCCAGCACATTCAGGGCCTGAAGCTCGTACACGTCGCGTTTGCGGGGAGTTTATGCCCTGCCGGGTGCCTAGTAGTAGTCGTCGTCGTCGTCGTCGTCGTCGTCGTCGTCGTCGTCGTCGTCGTAGAAACTCTTATTAGCGGACATGCGCTACCAGTTGAGATTTGTTTTGCGGACATGTATTACTAGTCGAGGAAACTCTTATTTGCGGACATGTACTATTACGGTACTGGGAGAAAGTAATCTTAGCGGACATGCTGTTCTACTTGACACAATCTTTCAATCAGACATGTTCATGAGGGCCCATACAAGACACCCCCACGATTCACTAGGACAATCTAGTCGTTTGACAAGTAGTTCGCGCAGTTTTTGGCCTGACAGGAAAGTACCAGTATTTGCAGGACTTCGTGCTCATAGACTGGAAGCCCAAGGAGAAATCGGTAAGCCAGAAACCCTCGCGATCATCTAGGAACGCGACGCCTAGTATCACTAGCAGTAGCAGTAGTAGTAGTAGTAGTAGTAGTACTAGTAGTAGTAGTAGTAGTAGTAGTAGTTGTTGTTGTTGTTGTAGCAGTAGTAACAGTAGTAACAGTAGTAGCAGTAGTAGTAGTAGTTGTTGTTGTTGTAGCAGTAGTAGCAGTAGTAGTAGCAGTGGTGGTG